TGAATATCCAGTTTGTTAGGGAGGCATGTGACATCAAATGGTTAGTTTTATGAAGCATGTGACATTTTCATTTATTTTGCTTTTTCTTAGACATTAACAAAGGAGCTGATATCCAATGGTAACAATATAAAAGTCACAAATGATAACAAGAGCAAATATGTAGAGTGAGTATATCTTTGACTTTTACTGACTTGACTTTTTTTGTGTCAAGTAGGTTTTGAAAATTGACATGGATGGACCACCCAACTTGTTTCCATGGAAACTGTTTTTAGACTATTCCCCATTGTATTTAAGCCCCAAATAGTGACAATTTTGAATACAAATTGGTAAAAAACTAGGCTCTAGAGAAAGATCTATGCTCCAACTTGAAAAAGATTGAATACCCAAAATTATTTCTTTCAGTACTTCAAATTATACTGTATTTATATCAAATATGATAACTTGAGACATTTAGGATACTTTAAGCTAAAAAATGCATTCCCACTTGCCCAACATACTGGTAGTCTCTTTATTAACCAAAATAAATGTAACTTACTATATACACAGTGCAGAGTAATTATAACACATCTGACCCCTGACCCCCTCTAAACAAAGATTAAAGTTGCTGTGTAGCTTGTACATAAAACCAAACAAGGAAGTTCTTTTTTTGGGGGGGGGGATTTCCAAAAGTGTGATAAACCTTTTTAAAATGAAATTGGTACAAAAACTGAACGGTTAACAGATGAGCATTTTTGCTTATGCATTAAATCTGAATTATAAACTCAGTATGTTGATGGGACTGTTGTAATGATATAATTGATTACCTAATTAATAATTAATATGATTTTATTTCAGTTTGGTGATTAAATGGAGGTTTGCATATCGAGTACAAAACCAGATGGCAGCATTTACAAGTGTGAGTTTAACTTTTAAGTCTCTTACAGTACCATATCCAAGTCATTGGTAATCTGAATAACTGGACAGGAAATAATAATATTAATTATTTTTTGGTCTTCTCTTGTAGGGATTTCAGGAACTTATTCCACTAGATCTTCTGAAAATATTTGATGAGAACGAGATTGAAGTAAGTATGCCATTATTCTGTTTCCATGTTACATTGTGGGTAAATGTGGTTCACAGTGCATTGTGGGTAAATGTGATTCACAGTGCATTATGGGTAAGTGATTCATGGTGCATTGTGGGTAATGTGATTCATGGTGCGTTGTGGGTAATTTAATTCATTGCAGAGTTTAAAGTGGAAGTGATTTTTTTGTGGATTTGTGTTTCTGGAAAACTAACTGAATCCATCTCATTCTAGTTGTTATTGTCAGGTCTTGGTGATATCGACGTCAATGACTGGAGGAAGAACACCGTTTATCGCGGAGAATACCATGCTAACCATCTTGTAATACAATTCTTTTGGAGGGTAAGAACATAACTACATTTTGTAGGACTTGATTGATGAGTATTGATTATTCTGGTTGCTGTGTTACTTAGGGACGACGTCAAAAGACCAATGTCAGATAACAAAATTATTTGCCTCAGTTTGGGAGTGGGGGGATTTTGACCTCAAAAACTTTCCATCCTACAAAAACGATTATATTTTTGAATGAAGTAAAAAAAATTTTTGAGTATTTGCAGTTTTTTTTTTTTTCTATCCAATCATGGACAAAAATAACAAAAAATGGAAAAACACATCCAAGACGAGCAAATGGTTTGGTCCAAGTGTTGTAAATATGTGCGTCAAATGAGGTCAATTTCAGGGCATGGACCTAGAACATGCACAGAACCCAGAAATATAGTTTGCGCATGTGTATATTCCCCTTCATTATTTCCTCTTGAACGGCTGAAGGTTTGGTTGCTGGGTTTTTTGGGCGTTGGTAAGACGCCATGATCAATATTTGTCAATTAAGTTTCATTGGGGGGTGGTGTGTGGGGGTTTGGGAAAAAAACTAAAGGAATTAATTGATGTTGTCCCTTAGCACACAAGCCAGTGTTGATTTCACAACTGAAGGGGCTGTTTTCCATGGTAAATTAATGTTATAACATTTTCAAAATTTCTGAAATACTACTAATAAAATCTGCTTTAATAAACTTACATCATAGCTGAACACACTGATTGGTTAAATTAAAAAGAAACAGCAATTCTTTTGTATTTGGAAGAGTCATTGTTTCACCGAGAAGCCTCTTTCTGAGTTCACCTCAAAGGAAACTGTGAGGGCGCCAGACAACGGTATCACAGAATGTATTTGGCACTTGAAATGGTTTGATTGGGTTAGCAGAATTAAGCAAGATGTTGTGAATAAGCAAGGACACTATCCAAAATGGTTAAAATGAACACAAACCAGTTCTTTGACAGACTTTTTTTTTTGTATTTATAAACTTTTATTGGAGTTTGCACTGAAATTAACATCTTATATACCAGGTTTGTACATTACAAGTTGCAATTAATCTACATATTGTGAAGTGGTCTGGGTAAAATTTTTCATGAAATATCCCCATTTCTTGTTATGAGAAGTCAACTTATTCCGTCGGACAGCAATGAAGTACTCTATCTCCAGGAAATATTTTACATATCTTTTGTATGCCATGAATTCTGGCTTTTGATTTTTATTTCTATACAAGTAAATATATTGTTTTGTTACCAGAAAGAGGAAGTTGACAAAACATGTAAAGTTTTCATCCCCAAGAAGGATTTGTTGTGCATTCGGGAATGCCCTCAGACTAAGCTTCCCCCCCCCCCACCCACCCAAAAGCATGTACAGTGCTTCCCAAAAATCTTGGGTGCATTCACATTGGTAAAACAAATGGATAAGAGATTCAGAGCATGATGAACAGAAAGTACAAAGATCAGACTCCACAATGGGAGGGTTCATCTTGAATAATGTTTTGTTTGTCTTTGACAGACTTACTCATTTGCTTAGTATTTCTAGAAATTCAGGCTTGTTGTTCAGTTTCCGTGTATTGTTTATATCCTCATCTTATGAATCCTAGGTGAGACTGATTACTGCAGTTGTCAGTAACCTAGTAACTAGTGACTTGCCTGTTGTGAGGCGATGATTCCAGCAGTGAAAATGTTTTTGTCACATCTCTTAATTTCTGAGGTTGCCTATTGGTACACATCTGATATCTGTAACCCTGAAAATTTCAAATTAAGTTGAACAAGTATTGCGAGGCAGAGTCAAACAATGATAGGTGGACATGCTAACCATTACACCACATACATAGAAAGCAAAATTTGTATATACAAGTTCTGTTCAATTTACTGGAGTTTTCCTAGCTAATTAAGTTTCATCCAAGCTATGATGTTACATCTGAACAACTTCTGGATGTATCAAACCAAGAAGCTGAAAACATAATTTTTACTCTTCATTAGGCCAGACTTTTATTATCCCTTGTTTCGTGAACCCGCAGAATGAACAGCGTAATTTCTTGCGCCCGCCGACTTGTAAGTATTTTTACCGCCCGCCGCATAACAAACCCAAGTTGCATTTTCGTGGGAGTATCATGATCAAAAGTACCGAAGTCTCGCGCAGATGAGAAACAAGGTTATACATGGAATAAAATTTTATTTCATTTCTTCTCTCCAATCAATGATCTCACTTACAATTCTTTGAGAATCACACAAATCTAATGGAAAAAAAGAATTAATTTTATTTTATTTTTCGCCCTCCTCAAAAAAATTCCCTTATGAAAACTCAAGAAACAAGGAATAAAAAAAGCCTTAAGAGACAATTTTGAGTTTTATGTGGACTCATGTTACAACAATTTTTTTTAAGGCAATATTGTCATTTGACAATGAGAAAAGAGCTCGTGTATTGCAGTTTGTGACGGGAACGTCCAGAGTTCCCATGAATGGATTTGCCGAGTTGTATGGTAGTAACGGGCAACAGAAGTTCTGTATTGAGAAATGGGGCACCACATCGTCATTACCAAGGGCACATACATGGTAAGGCACTCTCAAAGTCATTCAATATTCGAAAAATAAAGGAACAAATTGGCTCTGGGAGATCTCTATTTTGTAAGATCACATACTGTTACCGCTGTCTTGTGCGGATGTTTATTTTTTTTCTAACGTACATGGGGGTAGTTCATTCTCTCGTGTTTTGTTTGTGGGTAATACAGTCTTTGACATTACTTAGTCTGTGAAATGCATTCCATGAGTTAAGATGTAAATACTCTGTTCAATACTTCAAAATGAAAGCACATTGTAACTTTTAGAAAGATGTATAATACTTGTGCTAGTAGTACACATACCTTTGCTAGAAAATGCAAAAGAGATTTCTAATTGCTATTTCTTTCACAGCTTCAACAGATTGGATCTACCACTTTATTCAACGTACCAAGAATTACACGATAAACTTTTGATTGCAATAGAAAATACCGAAGGATTTGAAGGAGTTGATTAGTTAGTTACTATGGTATCCTGGTGCAAATACATTTATCACATTTTTATACGTGTCCAGATTACTTGAACTTTTCCTAAAAACGAAAAAAAGGTTCAGCTTTTTGCATACTGCAGATTGTGTCTTGCCTTTATTTCAAATTCAAGGGTAAACTGATGCACTTATAGGAGTTTCCTCTGGTTTTTTTCAAATTCGGGTTGGCTCACAGGATTTTGTGGAGGTTTCGAATATTCATTTTTATTCAGTGGTTAAACAATCTCCCAACATTTGAATGTAGGGAAAGTGCTCTATATTTACAATATACAAAGCTGTGTGAGTGAGACTAATGTCAAAAATTAATTGACATGGGCAATGTAAGAACTTCTTAAAAAAAATATGTCAATATTACCCACAAAGATTTGAAGGGGCAGGTGCTGATGATCATGTATAGTTTCTCTGTGACATCATTTCTAAAACTTTATTGGGGTCTTGGGACTACTGTAGAATACTTTATTTTAGCTGGAATTAATTTTCGCTGAAGGAATGATTCAGTGAAAAAAAAATCCAGCGAAAATACCTTTTTTCCTATATTTTACATTCAACTCTGCAAAAACCGGTGAAAATAAATTCCATACAAAACACCCAAAAAGTCTTTTCATCGAAAAATTGATTCCAGCTAAAATAAAGTATATCACAGTATTTGATACGAGATTGCTGATTTACTCATTCTGAATTACTGTGGATGTATTTTGAATTTTAGTCCCAATAAATAAATTGCTCCATCTGTTAATGGCCAACTCCAGAATAATTATCCAGGTAACAAAATCAGAGCTGTATGTGGAAGGCCTTTACAACTCAACACTGTAAACTAAGCATTTTTTCAAGACTTTTTGGAGTTTAGTTTTTTTAGGCTTAACTGTATTTGTTGATTATCTACTTTTAATAATTTTCTACAAAAAAAAAATTGTGCTTCTAAATACACATTGTTTTATGTCGTAATGAATAGATGTAAATCCCACACCACTACCACTAAATTAAATCTACGTGAACAAGTAAAATAACAATGTAATTCATTGTTTCTTCAATAAATTTGTGAAATTAATACAGTGAATATGCTCAAAATAGTGAAATTAAATTAGTTTTAACAGTATGCAGAAATCATGGTTTTCTTCCATTATTAAATGGGAAGTCCAGGCTGATAGGTGCTCCAGATGAAAGAGCTCAACACTGAATGCAGGGAAATGCAATTTACAGGTTTTTTTTATATCATCCTCTAGATATTCATTCAACTGCTTATCGGTATATGTAGGCAGCCATCTTGATTCTCCAGCAAAGGATTATGGGTAAAGCAAGACATAACAGCCACTGTTGTGAAAAAATTAGAAAATGATTTCATGTATTACCTTAAATTGCATTAATGTTTAGAACATGGTAGCATACTGGTGTCAACCATACATGGAAAATGACAATAGAACTGAAAATATTCATTTTTCTACCAAATGCTCATTTTTTGTACTAGCAGTATTTTCCTCTATATTTATGGAACTCTTTTCTCTGGGAGTATCATGCTTTCAGCCTAGAATTCACTTTTAAAATGCTGTTTTCTAGATATTTTTTGATTTAATATTGAACTGTGATGACTTGATGTTAATGCAAATTTAGTACGATTAGAATAAATGTGTATTCTAATTTACACAGCATGATCATTTTTAGAGCTTCATTTGCGGCAGTTGTGTGGAATATTCACTTGAATGTACAAATAGCAAACATTATCCGAAGATGTTCCAGATTCATTATGATTTCAAATTACTTTGTGTCACAGTAATTCGTAAGAGAGCCAAAATTTGCAAATCCACATACATTGAAACACCAATCGAATACAGGATTTGAATTAATCAAATGGCAGGCCTAATGATTACCAACAATGAGATATGCAGAAAATTTCACATTTCCATCAAATATTTCACATAGTGGTTCCAAAATTTCAACAAGAATGATTAGAGTACAACTTTAATTGAACTTAAAAACGTCTGTAAAATATGCACACAATGAAAGATTACAAAATGCGCCCCTTTCAATCATCTTGGAGGGGGGAGGGAGAGAAATACTCTGAATAGTGTACTGTTATTAGATATCATGAGCCACTTGGGACGAGTTTTGGGCTGGGTAATAATATGTAAACTATAATCAATCATTTACTGGATTGATCATTTTTTTTTTATAAAAAAAAAATAAACTTGCCCAGCAAGTATCAAATGTCACAACTGCATTATTGTATATTTCTGTTTTTTTTACTAATCTTTTCCATTAGTTATTTACCGGTAGCTATGATTTTAGAATGAATTGCCTACTTATGGTTGTATCTATATTTACTATTTTCATTGTGAACAATACTTGCATTATTTTCAATTTTACTAATGTGTAAATAAAAACTCAAGTAAAAAAATAAGTTGGTTTTCTTTAAATCCACAAAAGAAATTTGCTCTAGTCATATTGGCTGGTTCATGGAGGTAAAAGTCTGTCTTTTACCTCCATGGCGGGTTCTGGTTGCAAGAAAAAGTCTCAGGGGGACTATTCAAACAGGATTTTGACCAATTGAGTAGCTGATCTTCAAACTCGGACAGACCAGCCACAACTTAAGACTTGAGCACAACAAATGTAGTCTCTCCATTTAACATCCCCAACCCTCCGAAATGCAGTTTTCATTTCTAAATACAGTGTATTTAACTTCCCAAATATTATAAATATGGTTGGCTTTCTCATAGAGCAGAGCCAGTACAAGTTGTCCAAAGTACATATATTAAAGTATTGTAAGCACATTTTCTGTATTGCACATCATGGGTAAAACGTGCAAACAGCAATCTTTTCATTCTATACTGATTTCAATTACTTTGCTTAAAAATAGTGTTTTTAACGGTTCGTTCTATTTGTTCACCATCTTCGCTAGGCAAGGACCATTTATTCAGTCAAAGCCTAGACATTCGTGGGCTGGTTATGAATAGCCAGCTTTAGCAAAATCGTGCAATTCGTACGATGCTTGTTCACACTTACAAAACTTGCATTCTACCGGTTTTTGAAGTGAAAATAAAATCCAAGAATATACATTTTTTTATTTTATTTTACAATCAATTAGTCAAAAATCAGTAAAAATAAATTCCATGCAAAACACCACAAAAGTCTTTTCAGCAAGAATTAATTCCAGCTAAAATAAAGTATTTTACAGAATATTAGAAATAATTGATTGGTGTTAGGCGAGTATGGCTTAAAGTAGTGAAATGCATATCTGGATTATTAAAGTAGGAAGGATGTCACCTGTGCACACGCGGGAATCGAGACCTAAGCGATAACACACGCTAAGAACGCAAAGGCTCATGGGTAGACGCTTGTTTGTATTGACATTTGTAGCTAGTAATGAAAACAATGCCACAGAGAACTTTGTCACTGCATAGAATTTACTGTTTTTATACATGCATTTATTTAAAATAAATAGCATAAAGTTACAGATAAAAGAATTGTTCATAAAACAGGTGATTAACATTTTAAAATGGCTTAGTTAAAAAACAAACTTGTAAATTGATACATGTGAATGAGTAAGAACTAGCTAGCAATGTCACAATGTTGTGACTTAAGCTTAAATAAAAATAAATTGCTTTGACAGTAATAGAAACGCTGGAACAAGCCACGCACTTGAAAACACACCTATCTGTGTGTGTGTGTATATATATATATACAATAGTTTAAAATGTACAGGACTCTATACCAACATATGAGGGCGCTATACAAGATAGCAGCATACTGTAGAATACCTTATTTTCACTTGGAATTAATTTTCGCTGAAGAAATGATTCAGTGAAAATAAAATCCAGCGAATATACCTTTTTTCCGATATTTTACATCAAACTTGTCAAAAATCAGTAAAAAATAAATTTCATATGAAACACCCAAAAATTAATTCCAGCTAAAATTAAGTATTTTAAAGTATGGTAGTTGCTGCAATCTAATTTTTGAAAAAAACAACAAAATAATTGATACCGGGTACTGTTGTATTTCGCAGTAATAGGTATGAGGTAGAAAAATGATCTAAAGTGTCAAATTAATTATAACTGAAAGCACTGAAAACTGAACATACAAGAGTTGAAAATAATTATTTGCATTTATAATCAAGTCAAGTTGAAAATCTCACTTTATCTAGATAATCACAACTTCAAAACAAACAGTAAAAAGATCTAAATCAAGGTACCAGGAGGGGTGTGTGCATTGGCCAACTTGATCTTGTAACTTTTTGTAGGACAGCCATATCTTAGAAGACAAATCTGGTTAAATAAACCATTAGTCCATTTGGGCTACTGTTTTTGGCAAATGGTATCCTTGGACGAGATTTGGATGTCTGTATACAACTTGGTTTACTGTTGATTTTGAGATCTGTAATCAAATATCAGCAGTTGTCTGATGAACACAGATTATATGATCAATTTTATACAAGTTACTTAAATACTATAGAATAGATTATAAGTTATCTCTAGTTAAGTTAAAACTAAGGAGATGAAATTAGAAAGTATAGTTGCAGAGTCATCTTGGGCTTTGCAAAATGAATAGAAACAATATATACTAGTATATAATTGCACAGTTATGTTCTTTGGGTTTGTTGGTTAAAAAAATCATTATCAATATCGTAAGTTATAATGGTTCCCCTCAGCTCTACAATAGAATATGTTAATCATCTCTATTGTATTTAATGTAATGATACAAATTTTTCACGATTATAAAGTAGTAAACCTTATAAAATTTTGGGGGAACCTTGGCTTAATATCAAATCTTGTATCGTCACTTGAAAATGTGCCTCAGTTCACACAACAAAGACCTCCCATCAGTTTCTTCCGACTTTTTGTTTTTTCCACAAAGATGCTTTTTCCTTGCTTCTACTGGTCATAAGCACACTGAAAGCATCTTTACTCTGTGCTGAATCATGGTACCGCGTTTTGTCGAGATCATACTTTTCTTCACGATACTGCTTATCTTTAAGATTGCTTATATCTTTCATAGAAGGGTTAAACTTGCGTTTATTGGATTTAGCATCTACAAGGTATTTCACTGGTGCGGGTTGAGAGAGTTTGCCAACAGATCTGGCAGTAGATGATGAAGTTTTCAGCGCTGATGTTAGAGAATTCTTATGAATGCTCTTCTTGATCACTGCAGATAAGCTACTGTTGACACCAAGTGAGTCCCCAAAACTAAGATTGCTATATGGGTCATAAAGAATAGAGATATCATCACTTGTTGAAGAAAGTACACTGGAACATGATGAATCACTGATGCTGTAAAATGCTTCATTTAAGTCACATGACTTGGTGTTGGAGTGTCCATTGGGTTTATAATCATTTGTTTCATCTTTTTCATCTACTTCCTTGGAACTACCTAACGAGGATTTGAGGTTGCTTCCGCTCAACATCTGTTCGAAAATGGCCACATCTTCGTCAGAATCTAAGAGATAATTAGCATCATCACATGATGAAAATGGTGGGGAGCTGCTTCGTGAACTTGAGTAACTTGAGCTGTCCACTGATATGGGCATGTCGATTTTATCTCTATTTGGCAGCGGAGGTGATTTTTTCTTCATTGCACTCCTTCGTTGGATATCAACTTTCAAAGGCTTGAAATTGAGATTCTGAAGGATGGGTGCTACAGAAAATAAATAATTGAAATGTAATACATAGTAAAAATTTGTCACTTTATCATGCTGCAATCAACAATTACTAATGCCGAGAAAATAATGAGAGTTTTAAAGCAGGTTGTAATGATTTGAGGCTATGACGTTTAGTTTAGTTATTTGCATAATGATATTGATACATTGTATGGAACATCTCGTGAGTATTTAGACTCAGTTCCAGGCCTAGCAGTTGAGCAATAAACACCTTGGCTACAAGTGCTCCTCTCCAGTGTGTTATTCTCCTCCCGGATCTGGTGACCAATACTCACTTGGTTCACTACCTTGAGAAGTCTGTTCTCAGTTTACACAGGTGCTTAAAAAAAATTATCAGAAAAACAATCTCCCTTGTAACATTGCAATTTTCCTTGGCACATTTATATTCATATGCACTTACTTTCAAGCAGAAGACGGTTAAAAGTGTATGACCTGATGTCTATGCAGATGGATGCATTTCAGGTCAAGTGAAGGGTTGTTTTTGGTTGTGCAGTGCCATTCATAAGCGATCATATATAAAGTTGCTGTGAAATTTTTACATTTAAGAATTCAAACAATTTAAATTTAGACATTATTCTGAAAATCCAAAATGGCAGCATTGACTGACTAAATTTAATTTATTTTCCCCATAAGATGCTTTGGTCATACATGTTACCGGTATATACAAAATATCGAGTTGGTCAGTTAAAGTAATCATGAGAAACAAATGCTTCGAATTGAGGCCATTTTTGTTGTAAATCCAAGATGGTGGCTAAACCATGTGACTGATCCAAATTATTTTATTTTTCTCTGAGGAAGCTTTGGCCGTAAATGTGAAATATCAATTTGATTGGTTGATTGTCAAAAATCAAATTAACCTTTTATTCGTCAGTTGATGCTCTCACTGTACATTTTTGTACATATGCTAAGTAGGAGATTATACGCAAAAAAGCAATGTGCGTATAATTATGTGCAGTGATCACTGCATCTGTACAATGGTATAACAATAACTTACCTTGATAGTGTTTTTTATTTTTCTTTCGGTTTGTTTTTGTCACTGTTTTGCCATCCTCAGGTTTTGGAATTTTTATTTTTGACAGCAGATGGTGTTTGCCAGCAGGGAGAAACATTTTTACATCATCTAAAATAACTTCAAATGAAGACACATTGATTTGTTTTGATAACAGGATTGAGAGACTCTCAATCAAACTGGAAACCAGGAAGTTGAACGAGTCCTGCATCAAATCTGCAAAAGATGGCAGTGAAATTACAATTCCATATTCATACAGAATATATTTAATGAATAGCTCCTTTTAGAAAGTATGTTACTTCAAATACAGTACACTATATTTAGCAATCCAATCAAAGCCCATAAGTAAATAAATATCTAAATAATACTTTTTTTGGCCATAGACATATGACTGTCATTTACATACGTGATTGCACTACTAATAGAGCAAATATAGTAAATGTATTAATTCTCAATAGACCATTTTCAGTTCACTGCGAGATCCCGCATTATGCATGAAATCAAATGTATAAACAGGACAAACAAAAGATCATAGCGTCGTAGTGGTGTCAAATATTGTATGGGCTTCAACAAACGCGAAAGTATTTTGGAGGGTATTTCCATGCTTAATAATGTACTGCGCACATTTGATGATGGTCAATTGCGATGAAGTAAGGGTATTCAAACACAATATTCCCCTGACAAAGGCCGGCATTCTAATGTGAGCTACGAAATAAAGGAATTCAAGTTAAAAATC